TCAACTCCCAAACACCTTATGAGTAAGTGAGGAAGTCGGGGCAAATACTAAGGTACTTAAGCACAGTGCTGTCATGGTGACCATTTCTATTTTATATTTAAGGAAACAACTCATTACAAAGCCATACTTACTTACCAAGTCAAAAGGAAAATTAGAATTACATACAAGTCTTTTGATTCTTAGCGTTACACACAATAAAAAAAAAAAAAAAAAAAACCTAGGTATTCTTTAATAGTACCTTTTGTGGGAGATTGAAACCTTTAAAAGAAAAATTCCATGTTGAAACTGAAGGGTAGAATTGGTAAATCAGCCAAACCACTTTATTTTAAACTAGTGGGAGAATAATCTGGAATTATAGGAAACTCTCACTGTAAGAGTTCACACGATATGAAAAGGTGACTCACAAAGGTCTTTAATTTTGTTCTACCATCTTATATTGATCTGCATAGTAAGTCACCATTTTTTTCTGCAAATAGGATGGTAATCATAGCTCCTGTAAAAAAAATCAGGTTCAAATTAATTTTACAGCATGTAGAACGCAAGTCTATCTAATCTGAATGGATATACAATCTAAGGGTTTGGGATAAACTACAGGGTAGAAAAGGCAATAGTTAAGCTTCTTAAGGGCAGAAAAGTACAGTCCTTTTTTTTTTTTTTCTTTTTGGTTGTTTCATACCCAACAGTAGGATCTGTACATCATCCTGTTGTCTTTCATACCGCTGTTTCTTTCTTCTTTAAATCCCTGACAAACTCCGCACCATGTCTGTATGCTCTGTCCACATGCAGTGAAACTGTTCACTACAGATCAGTAAGTAAGCACAAATAAGGCCATGCTTACCTTGCTTACTGGGTAATCAGTCCTTGTCAGGGATTGTATATTTGAAAAGAGGCTTTGGTTCTGTATGAGGGTGCTGTGGGATTTGGAAAGAGATAGATGCCAGCTATACCTAGAAGCAGAATCTTTGATGCAGTGAAAAAATGTAAAATTGTTCACTACAGATTAGTAAGTAAGCACAAGTAAGCCCATGCTTACCGTGCTTATTGGGTAATCACCCCTGGGCCTCTCTCTATCCAGTCCTATTTGATAGACTGGTTCCATGTCCATCTGATGATGCGAGTCCAGCTCCCTTCTCAGATGGCTGGGTTATTTGGCATATCCATTGCTCTTTCGTGACCTGTTTTATTGGTTCCTGGGCTGTCCTGATCTGCTCTTCTGATGGTGCATGCCACCCTCAGACACTTGACTTTTCCCCGGCTCATCTCCTGAATATTTTTAGTGGTCCTGTTCCTTTCTATTTCCCCTGAAAATTTATATTTGCTGTGGGATTGAGCTGCTGTTGTTGTTGTTAGG